TAGAATACATATGCAGATACCTTACCAAATGCGACGCAATTCCAAATATTCATAAAAGAATTGGACTCTGGACTCTGACCCCAAGTTTGCTACTGATGCTAAACCTTTAGATTGCTAATTTCCTGCTGATGCGTTAAAAATGTGCATTGCCATTAACATATTGTAAAATGCATGAACAAAAAATTACATGTCAATGAAGTACTTCGTTGTTAAGCCATATATTTCGTTGATAAAAACTAGGTGGTGAAGTGCGACCATTATGTAAAATGTCTATTATGACAAATAGATATTACGTCTTGACTGGGTTTACATGAAGGAATTATTAAAACACTCAAATACACTAAGTGTGCTGAGTTGTATGTGTGAATTACACATATAAAAGCAATCATAGGTCATAATTAGCATGTACCATGCCCTTTTCAGAATGGTTAATTTGCCAAATGTCGGCCATTTTGAAAAATGGCCGCCATGGCTGCCTTTTGTCTTATATAGTTATATTCTACAACTAGAAATCTTTGGTAACTGAAGTAATTCTGTACTTTGTTTCATAATGATGTGACACATGTAATATTTATTACAGATACTGCATCTATCTCACTATGCAGATGTATCTATACAATGAACAGAGTACATATGTATTTACAATGGGTACCTTCCATTAAAATGCCCCTAACTTTTTACCTACCCTATAATTTGGGATTACATAGTACCTAGAAATGTTCAGTAGACTCTCCTGGATCAAACTGTGAAGTCAGAACTTTTATGTAGAAGGTGTTGTTCTTCATTCAAGTCAACACACAGATGATATTTCTTGTGTGTTGTCAAATACGAGGTGTCTGTCAGCGAGTGACCTGGAAAAGGTTATATATATGTTATATATACAGAATAAGGTCCATCAACCTATCGGTCTCAGTAAAGAGGGACGACCATAAAACCCATGCATAGCTTGCAGGAATGGTACTGCTATAGGAGCCAGAATATCGTCCCGATAACCAGGCCTACCAAAGAAATATTTCCCACTGCAGAAAAACGCTGAATAGTCCACATAAATCGTGGAAATAGCAACATAAACATAATACCTCGCTACTGAAACAGTAAAAACGGCAACTTTATATCGCTAAAACGGGATGAAAAAACGAAGAGCCTGCAACTTCAGAACTGAGAACTGAGAACATTGCTTATGGATTTCATATTTGTTACCTTTTTTATTCGGCCTCCCGCTCAAATTTCCCTTAATACTCAGTTGGTTTTTTTTGGGAGGTAGTAACACCACTCTTTCGAAATTTCTATTTCTTGTTCCCCATCATTTCTTAATAAGTGTACTACCCTGGCGCCGAAATACCTTAGTTGTGCTTGCGACGTTAAATAAAGCAAATCACTATTAGTTGCTTATGATTGCAAAAAATGTGCTTGTAATTGTTTTGTTATACTTTGTTAATGAATAAAAAACAATCAACTGAGAAAGTGTTACTTTTTTCCTGTTACTTTTTTTCCTAGCAAAATCTGTTACTTTTTTCCGTTTCTTATTTTCCTGTTACTTTTTTCCGTTCATTGTTTGTGTTCAGACAATTTGGAAGCAGTCAGTCCCCCGGTTAGTTGGTCAGTAACACAGAAATGTCTTAGTTTTGTCATAATGAGACTCCTCTGTACCCCTCAGCAGGTATTAGTCGACCCACATACCATACAACCGAGCTGACTTACCTTCCATACAAAACACGCCATTCATGTCATCAGTGTCAGTGCGCGTTTAGTTCTGATTGGTGTACACCGAGCGTGCAGCTTGGTAACCTGTGTTGGGACAGCCGAACTACGCACTGCCCTGGACAAAAGGGCCCATTCTATCTGTTTCCGACAGGTTCCAAGTTGTTTTGGAAGAAGCTAACAATGTCACATTACGTATAAGGCTGTGTATGCACGTGTGGTATGTTAAATTCAGTTTATGTTGTCTGGAACAAAGTATTTCAGGGCTAGTGGTCGGAGATGTTACGTCCAGGAGATTGTGTAGACGAGGTACAGACACATTATGTGGTGTATATTTGATGGGAGTAACATTTATGGGCTTGCCGGTTGATCCGTGCCTCATACACCGCCATGTTGAGTGTTGTATAACCCCTTTTGATATCACGAGTTGGTTCGCTGAAAGAGAACCTTATTGATATGAACTTCTCAGAAACGGATTGACTTTCTTATCATAGGTACCCTGACCTAACAAACAGTGTAGGCAGTTCATGTCACGTCACCGGAGTGGCTCGTGTACATCACAGGTGTTATATGCTGGTTATATGTAGGTGTTATATGCTGGTTATATGTAGGTGTTATATGCTGGTTATATGTAGGTGTTATATGCTGGTTATATGTAGGTGTTATATGTTGGTTATATGTAGGTGTTATGCTGGTTATATGTAGGTGTTATATGCTGGTTATATGTAGGTGTTATATGCTGGTTATATGTAGGTGTTATGCTGGTTATATGTAGGTGGTATATGCTGGTTATATGTAGGTGTTATATGCTGGTTATATGTAGGTGTTATGCTGGTTATATGTAGGTGTTATATGCTGGTTATATGTAGGTGTTATATGCTGGTTATATGTAGGTGTTATATGCTGGTTATATGTAGGTGTATATGCTGGTTATATGTAGGTGTTATATGCTGGTTATATGTAGGTGTTATATGCTGGTTATATGTAGGTGTTATGCTGGTTATATGTAGGTGTTATATGCTGGTTATATGTAGGTGTTATATGCTGGTTATATGTAGGTGTTATATGTTGATTATATGTAGGTGTTATATACTGGTTATATGTAGGTGTTATATGCTGGTTATATGTAGGTGTTATATGCTGGTTATATGTAGGTGTTATATGTTGATTATATGTAGGTGTTATATACTGGTTATATGTAGGTGTTATATGCTGGTTATATATGTAGGTGTTATATGCTGGTTATATGTAGGTGTTATATGTTGATTATATGTAGGTGGTACGTGCTGGTTATAGGTAGGTGTTATATGCTGGTTATATGTAGGTGTTTGATTATATGTAGGTGGTACGTGCTGGTTATATGTAGGTGTTATATGCTGGTTATATGAAAGTGTTATATGCTGGTTATATGTAGGTGTTATATGATAGTTATATATAAGTGGTATGTAACAGGAGGACACTAGAAATGGGCTTCACACATTGTACCCATGTGGGGGATCGAACCCGGGTCTTCGTCGTGACGAGCGAACGCCCCACTCAACTCCATGGATTCGACGCTATATACTGAAAGACGTCTTGAACCCACTTCTGACTTTCCCCTCTGTGATGTTGCTGAGAACAGCGTACATCCGAACTGATTCACCCACTTACTCACTCACTCACTTACACACTCACTCTGATAACCATGAGTCTATATGTCGTGCCCAATTCCCGGAATTGCTCATTCCCTGGGTTTGGGCAAAAACTCTGCCCCATTCCCGGGACAGGGGGCAATTCATGATTCAATTTCCACAATCCCAGGGAATGGGCAGGAATTAAAATATAGCTCTGGCTCACTGTTGATTAACTACGTATGGTAGCTGTGGTTATCGACCACAGTTTCCCATCAAGAGGTGTGCACGTGCATTATGTATTGTTCATGCGTCACATGTCATCGTAATAGATCTCGCGTTCAGAGATACACACCTCAACCTGCATTCAAATCATTAGTGTCTTTACGTTATGTCGGTGGTATATCTTCAATGATAATACACCTGGTAAAGACACTACAACTGGGATATGATTGCTTGCTTGCTTTGTTGTTTAACACCGCACTCAGCAATATTCCAGGTATATGGAGGCGGTCTGTCAATAATCGAGTCTGGACCAGACAATCCAGTGATCAACAGCATGAGCATCGATCTACACAACTGGCATACGATGACGTGTGTCAACCTGGTACATGACAACGCAGCTGGTAAGGATAGTCTGTCTCACAGTCCCTCAACCGAATTATTTCTAGATTCCTCAGATCAGGTTCTGAATGTCCCATCTTTACAGACCGCCGCCATATAGCTGGAATATTGCTGAGTGCGGCGTAAAACTAAACTCACTCACTCACTCCCATCTCACCGGGGCTCCTTTACAATTTAAAATGAATTATTTGTTTCTAGACTGAGACTATGCGTTAGTGTAGTGGTAAGAACACTACAGCTGGTTGATGACACTACAGCTAGTAAATGATGCTATTAAAGGCTCTCTATCACGCCACACTTCTCCAAAAATCAATATTGCATTTCTCTCAATATTAACTATCGGCCCCAGCTAAGCTACAATATCATTCATTCCGAAAAAGAATTACGTATTAAGATTACAATATGAAATTAAAAAGTTGGAATGAAGTAATGCAACGTTGCATTAAATCGACTCTCGCGCCCTCTGCCTACCGGACTTTATTTCAAGCGAACCCCATAGAGGTATGTCCCCTGGAACGCTCTTTATAAATATCCTATAAGGCAACTTGTCATTGAGGCCAGTTCGGCAAACACCGACAACGCCGCGTGCAAAAGTTTTCGATGTACGGAACAATCGTTTACATTCCATATATGGCAAGTATTATCTGTTTGGAAGGTGTTCGCCTCGAAGTTTCAATTATCGATTTCAGGCAAGTCGTAAGGGATAATACATCTTTTATTGTATCAATAGGAAGCTAAAGTGAGTGCATATGCCCCAATATATATATACTGGACAAAATTAGTTAGGGATATATGTAAATTTTGAAATTATGAATTATGATCTATTTATTCATTGACACACTGATAAAGTATCAGTCATAAAAATACCAATATCCCTGACATATTTTGTCCAGTATATTATAGACCAAATATTTTCGAAAAAGCGTGACATTGTGCCTTCAAGGCTGGAGAGTCTTATACGTGAAGGTAAAACAGTCATCTGCTACAAACAAATCTCACATTTATTTAGATGTCGGTGCTGTCTGTTTGTGTCAGAAATGTGCCGCGCACCAGTCCTGGCGTGTGTTGGTGGATGTGGTATGTCACCACGCGTGTCTCCCGTATGTCCTGTCTCATTGTGACAGCCAATCAGATCAAATGCAGTGTTTATATATGTTCCTGGTTATTGCGGTATCTCTAAGTGTTGGCAGTGCACTATTGATCAACCCAGTCCTTGTTGACACACCGCCAGCAGCCCGCTCGAACACACTGACGACCCTGTGTGTTGGCAGTTCGGTTTCCAGAAAGATAGTGCTGAAAACTAAACGCTTTCCCGGAACAGAAACTGGTGCATAATTCTCCGAACGCATTCCTGGTACAAGTATTGGTGTATATATTCTCCGAACGTGCCTGAAATTGTTCATATCCCCCGACCAAGGACCTGGCGCGTGTGGACGTATTAGCAACTGTCCACGACTATCAGCAGGTGTTCACGACTATCAGCAGGTGTTCACGACTATCAGCAGGTGTTCACGACTATCAGCAATTGTCCACGACTATCAGCAGGTGTTCGCGACTATCAGCAGGTGTTCACGACTATCAGCAGGTGTTCACGACTATCAGCAGGTGTTCACGACTACGACGGTAATGTACGTATTGTATAACGGTCATAACATCCATGTTTGGGGGTACTTCTGTTGTAGGTTGAGGGCCTGTGGAGAGGTCTTCTGTATATCTCCTGTGTTCACTGACTACTTGCCCACGAGCTGACGCTCGTATTACAAATCTGGTTCAAGTCGCTCAGTCTCCATTTCCCTTGGCTGTTTACTCACTTATTCTGAAGTGGCAGGGATGATATTCCAGTTTCACACCTGCTCCCAAGTACACAATGTCTCGGTTTACACAACGCTCACTTTACACAGGGAGGAGCCTCATTTTCTCAGGACACTGAGTACAACTCCTGAACCTTGACAGGGTGTGAACACCCCATTATGAAGCATGTTTCTGGCTTGAAAGATCTTAGAGATGATGCTGGAATTACATTGGGGCGGAAGTTACTATTCTGACGGGGGCGATGGTGGTAGCCTTATGGTCAAAGCGTTCGCTCGTCACTCCGAAGACCCGGGTTCGATTCCCCAAATGGGTACACTACGTGAAGCCCATTTCTGGTGTCCCCCGCCGTGATATTGCAGGAATGTTGCTAAAAGCGGCGTCAAACTCACTCACTCACTCACTCACTCACAGGGTAGATGACGCCAAGCCTTTGTCAGTGGGAATGAAATGAAATGTTTGTGAACGAAGGTTGTTACATATTTTAATACCAGACACAATATTGTATAGCATAGTTGAACACAATTTTGCCTTTAATGAATTGCCGAAACTTGTTTACATTAACAACCTGATATATGTTTTACTAATTCATCCGTAATCCTTTTTGATTTCTTCTGTGGCCTCAGAAGTGGATAAACACAGCATTATCGCAGCGTTCTCAATACAGCGGGGCGGTGGGATAGCCCAGTGCTTAAGCGTTCACTGGTCACACGGAAAATCCAGGTTCAATTCCCCACATGGGAACAATGTGTGGAGCCCATTTCTGGTGTCCCCCGCCCTGATATTGCTAAAAGCGGCGTAAAACTAAACTCACTCACTCACTCACTCCAAGGTAACCGTAATTTGGGCTATAAGCGAATACCAATACTGACTGAAGGTACTACTCATTGACATTGTTATAAACCATTTGTCGACCATTTGTGTTCGGGTTAACACGGGTTCACTGTATGTATATTTTTGAAACAATTAATTGTGAGCTACAGAGCCTTTGCTAGTTGATTTGCTTTGTTTCGTAACCTCCAGCTGATAAATATCCCACATCCGTCACCAGGTTTCGACACAAGTTTAATTATCAGTTATTATCAGTACATATTACCCAACTGTCATGTAGTGTGCGGTGATCAACGTCGCCAACTTCCTCAGCACGACAAGGAACATTATTAACGCAAGGAAGGAAAAGACACGACAATATGATAAATGATACCCTCTCATCCGGGCATCTATGACATTGGCAAATAAGTGATGACACAACTGACCCTAATTATAGACGCTGACTGGTATCACGTGGCACATGTCCGCAGTTCGGTCACACGACAGACGGAGAAGTCTACTTTCAGTTTCGGGATCAGCCAGCGAATGTTGTCAATGTTCAGTCGCTCTCTGGTAGTGTGTCGAGCTGACCGTTAACTGACGTGGTATAGTGAACTTTTTATCAAACTCCCGCCTTGGGGACACAAGGGACTTTATACATTGCACCAATGGTGTGTGTGAATTTTCTAGATTTGAAAATCAAATGATTGATGTCATGAGCATCGATATGCACCAGTTACGCCAGTGAGCCTGATCATCTAATCTATTCCGTTAGCTGAAGTTGGTAAAGACCAACCCGGATCTTCAAGGGAAAGACAAATTCGTATGTTATCAAACTGTTAGGGTAGTTATCAATATAGCAAAAACCATCACTGTTCGGGTTTTTTAAATAAGAATTTCATGTTTCAGATATCAAGATGGCCTCCAGGACTATGCAACCTAACTACTTTGTTGCCATTCGTGTCACAGACGACGGAATTAAACAAACGTTTGACAGAGTTCGGGAAAGAATAATTAAGGAAAATGCCAACTATTTGACAGTGTGTTCATCCAGGGATGATCTCCACGTGAGTCTGTGCCATCTCTCAATTCAGACACAGACTCAGCTCCATACAGCGGTGGAAGCTCTCAACAGCGCCGCGGAGAACATCCGATCCATGCAAAACAAGACAACGTTAAAAGTGAAAGGAATCGGCACGTTTAACGACGTTGTCGTATACGGTAACGTTGAGTACGAACGTGAGCTATCAGTTCTCCGGTCTGTGATCGTTTCGTTTCTGGACGCTCAGGGGATTTGTTGGTTACACAGGGGATTTCACTCCTCACATGACAATTGCAAAAGTGACGAAATCTTTCACCCACAAGACCGGTATAACGTATTTCCCCAGCAAGGTGTACAACACCGACAACGACGTCGTTTTTGGTGAGGAGGATGTTGATGCAGTCAGACTGTGTCGGATGGGGTCCGAAAGGGACCACGATGGCTTCTACGTCACTGACGCCACCGTTGTCGTGTAGACCACTGAGTGAGAAAGTTATTTTCTCTTTGTAGTGAATTGAATTTGATACTTTAACTGATCATGATGGACTGTGCTAGCAATTTAAGGCTTTATTACCTGCTGAACCTGCTGAATAGGGTTTATGTGTTTTAATCTTTGCCTATACTTTACTGTTAGTTTATACACTGTGATAAGAATGTTTCCCCGCAGTAACTTCTCTCATCCCTCTACCTCGGAACCCACTCGGGACATATTCCGCTACACTCGTATTGTTTGCGGAAGCGGCGAAGCAGTAATGTTGCACAAATGGACTGTACTCCCTGGGACTGAGTGAGTGAGTAGGTTTACGCCGCTTCTAGCAATTATCCGACATCACGACGGTGCTCCTCAAACATAAGCTACACACAATATTACCATGGAAGGAATCGAACCTCTGTGACAAAAGAACACTTTATACCCACAAGGCTGCCTGAGACTCATTACGATATTACATTACTTGTAAAACTTTGACAGAACGTCCTTTGTGGAAAATATATGAACATTAAACCAGAATTCTCAGTTTTGTGAATTTATACTGAATGACTCCCCCAAGGGTGATGCACGTGCACCAAGCTCCGTCGCGAGTTCTATACAATGCATGATTCACGTCTCATCATAATGTGACTGGGTTCTAAAGTGGTGTTTGGTCAATCTAATGCATGCTGGGTTTTTTTTTCATGTTGACTAGAGATATAGGAGACTTAGAACCCTGATACTCCTCGTAAAAAGAAGAGGATACGTGGAGATAAAAATTTAAAATTTCTAACATTGTTGCTGATATTAGTTTCTGGTTGTAGCGGTATGACAACAGTGAATGAATTGACAACACATTACAACCGGTTGTGCAGTTTAACAGTAGATGTATTCCAGCCAACGATCGTAATGGGCGATATGGTGAAGATGAGATTGGTTGGTTGGTTGGTATTTTAACGCTGCACACAGTAATATTAGTCTGGACCAGACAGTCCAGTGATCAACATCATGAGCATCTTTCTACGGAATTGGACTGACTGACTGAGTTTGGTTTTACGCCGCTTTTAGCAATATTCCAGCAACATCACGGCGGGGGACACCAGAAATGGGCTTCACTAACTGTACTCGCGTGGGGAATCGAACCCGGGTCTTTGGCGTGACGAGCGAACGCTTTAATCACTACACTGCCCCACCACCCCGAGTGCAGTTCGAACAACAACTGTTTGGTTGCAATTCTTCGACCATTTTAACACATTAATTTTATAGTTTAGATAGAAAAAAAAATCATGTCACACTACCTTTTGCCTGTTGTTATGTGTTGATTCCCAAGTTAAAACTAATACCACCATCAAAGAAAACAAAGATGGGAAGTAAATAACACTTGTATTCTAAGATTACAAGTTAATACAAATCACTTTAAAGGTATTACAGTGACAGAACAAATGTAAAGGCAGTATAATACAAAAGCAGTGATTGTGGCAATAAAGACAGAAGGTAACATTCACCTCACTGCAACAACGGTGAAGTTCCAGAAAAGGCTGAGTATCCAAGGAACGGTGTCTTCCTGTGAGACAGAACGTCGACCCTCATGTCTCGTAGATTGTCAAGAAAGAGCGTCAGCATGTTGTTCAACTAGCTCTGTCCCATGACCATTCCTTGCACAATGTGGAGTGAGGTTCGCTCAGTCACAGTGATGCCACTTCACACCATTACCAAACCACTGATAAATCTGCCATGAAGTCTGACATGGGTGACGTGGGCTTGAAGTTCATGTGAACGTCAGACACGACCACGCCTATCAAAGAAGTGAATTGGGACTGCCGACTTGTGACCAGCGACGATTCCCAGAGTTTTGACGTTTTGTCAAACATTGACGTCGATTGCCAATATAACGACGTGTTAGGGACGGCATGTCACGTGAGCGTCAAGCATTTCGATGGACTCCGTAGGGACGATTTCTGATCGTATCACGTGTAACTCGTACTCCATAAGCCTAATAAAATCAACAATCTGATTCTCCGCTAAAGTTTGTTAAGCCTGGTTTCAGACCAGTCAATCATGTCCTCTTATCTTTGACCTGGGTCGAGCGTCACCACCTTGGGTTTTCCATATGTCCCATAGCCTGTTAGTCATAGAATCTGAAACAGTTAACATGCCCGGGTCATATCACGTTGAATTTCTGCCAGTTTCGAGCATGTCAAAGTCCAGTAGACGGCGTATCTGGAAGACTCCCTGAATCACAATTGTATGATACGCAGAGTGGATAAGATTGACAGATAGTCCATATCGAGTACCGCTACGGCGGGCAGTACGTGGACATTATTAGGTGTGTTTTCATGCTGATTTTACAGATGTTTCGGACAAGTCAACTCTTATCGTTGACCTGGGACGCCGTGAACAAGGTCGATCCTCACCATCTTGGACTGTCTGTATGTTCCCTAGTCTGTTAGTCACAGAATCTGAAACAGTTAATACTGGTCATTTCATGCTGAATGTCTGTCAGTTTCGAGCATGTCAACATCCAGTAGAGTTCGTGGCAGACTTCTCATCGCTCGTTCACCCACAAGCTATGAATGACATAACCACTGTATGATACGCAGAGCGGGTAAGACTGACAGATGGTCAACATAATATACACACGTGCGTGGATGGTGCTCCTGCGAGCGACACGTGGAAACTGTCCCAGTGTTTTGATGTTCATTTCACAGACATAATCGTTCCTACACAGGATGTTTGCCGTCAGAAATTATCTTTATTTAAAATACTTGGAATTTAAAAGTATATTGTCTGATCACTTGTTTGTAAGAGTATATATGGAAATGTATGGTTGTACTAACGGTTTGACAGACTAGTTTATGCGATGCATTCCAGGGGAAGATAGAAAAATTCAAAATGTCCACTTGTGACATATTTTGTAACCTCAGTCGTATGGAGTGGCGGGGTGAGGGAGACCACACACGAAGACGTAAGTCATTACTAATTGTAATTTAACAACCATCAAGGTGTTATTGCATCCAGTGCGCATACAAATCAAGGTGTTATTGCATCCAGTACACATGCATATTGTAATTTAACAACCATCAGGTGTTATTGCATCCAGTGCATCCAGTTGTAATTTAACGCCATCAAGGTGTTATTGCATCCAGTGCGCATGCAAATTGTAATTTAACAACCATCAAGGTGTTATTGCATCCAGTGCGCATGCAAATTGTATTTTAACAACCATCAAGGTGTTATTGCATCCAGTGCGCATACAAATTGTAATTTAACAAGCATCAAGGTGTTATTGCATCCAGTGCGCATACAAATTGTAATTTAACAACCATCAAGGTGTTATTGCATCCAGTGCGCATACAAATTGTAATTTAACAACCATCAAGATGTTATTGCATCCAGTGCGCATACAAATTGTTATTGCATCCAGTGCGCATACAAATTGTTATTGCATCCAGTGCGCATACAAATTGTTTTCAGTGGTTAAAAGAGGTGGTTGTTGGTGAAGTGATGAGTTTGATTCAGAATAAGGCGATGAAAAGATACAGGATAAAGTCGTATCAATCAAGATCGCCCAAAATATTTCATTGATCTGAATGAAAAGAAGAACAATGTGTCCAGATTCATATTGAAAGTAGATAATATATATATGTAAAACATACATCGGTAAAATGGAGTATCTCACTCGAACCACAACATTACTATCTGGAATAATTTAAAACATAACAGTAACCTTAAAATATTACCCCGCTATGCATAAGCGTCTTTAGCATCAGCTACGTACCAAAGAGAGAAACTATCCCGTCCATAGAGAATACTACACGAGGTCTCATTACATACGAATTATACGAAACGAGTGTCCTTCCTATGGTATCTGACCGAGCGAAAGCGAGGTCAGATAACATAGGAAGGCAACGAGTTTCGTATAATTCGCATGTAATGAGACCGAGTGTGGTATTTTATTTATTACCCACGTCTTACATGCATTAAATTGACAAAATAGCGTATTTTTGTTAATATTTTGGTTTCAAACCGAAACCGGTTTCATAAAGGGGTTGCGGAAGAGTTTTGTACTGTAGTACAATATTTGCATGACGTCACACCAAAATGACGTCACTGCCATGGTAACCGACGTCACGATGCCTGTCAGTTGTCATCGCCTCGAACAGCCTCCTACAGTAAACTACTCCGTAGCACCCCGTTTCTTGGTTTGCAGTTGCTTCATTCGGCTTACATCACTGGTGGAAACATTGCGTTCATGTTCTTCGACGGATATAATGTCTCAGTTCGACTCACAATTAAACAGCGACACGGCAACGTTCTCGATGTTTACATTCCCACAATGCATTTAAGTTGTAGAATGAATGAATTCACGTGTTTGTTATGAATGAAAAAATAGTTACGTCAGAATGTGACCCAATTGAGAGGTCATCGGTTATCCAATCAAATCGTTAGGATCTCAGGTCAAGTCGTTACGACACAGGTCAACGCGATACGACACACGTGTGACGTACGAGATTAGTATGCAACTACCCATACGTTGACCACGTGGGTGATAAATGTCTGTATGGCATTTGCGGATTCCTCGTACACTTTGTCATCAGTTTATGATGAGACGTAACAATACTGATGACGTCACAGCAATTATGACGTCACGCTATTGTTGCCGCACAGTCTGAGAAGGCGGCATGGAGCGTCTCACGAACTACTGGGCATTGAGACATAATAGCTTTGAAACAGTACGACGAAGTCTCCAGAACAAAGTCCCGTCGCCTGAGAAACAGTGTGAGGTTATTGGAAAGACATTATGTGTCCGGATAGAGACTGGGGACATCACGTTGACAAGAGTCGTGGAAGACATTCTCCAATATGTCAAGTGTAAGAGCAGCGACGAGAGGAAACGATACTTCTGTTGGCTCGTCCTTCACCTTGGCTTGGGTCTGTGTTGCTGTGGCAACAAGGCAGATGTCCCAAACAACCTTCCCCGGAAGCTTCTAAGGCAACTTTTGTTTTACAGTCGAGGGGTCGATTTTGGAATATTTTTGAGAGATTTATTTGATTTCAGTGAAACACAGACCGGAATTCCGGAAAAGACGGAATACCTTTTGGAGGTATGTTCTGGCTTCACGATAGTGTTTAGTGACCCGAGCCTCATGAACTGTGTTTTTAATGGTCCCCAGAGCGTCATGTGGCGGGAAATGCTTCGTGGAGATTCATGCCTGTATTTAGATCTACCCATTGCCTACCCGACTCTTCCACCCGACGTGGATGTGAACCGCTCCCACCTCCGCGCCTCGCCGTTGCTTCTCGCCATCGTCAACATGAAGCCGAAGGCTGTGCTCCTGCTCCTGCAACACGGGGCCACGGCGGAAGGTCACCCGCTCGAATACATCCTCCGGATGTTCAGCAGCTTTCATCTCTTCCCCACCATCAGCACGACCAGCATCGGCTTCAGACTCGGCAGCATCGACACACTGGTGGAGTGCTTCATGTACTGTCTACGGTCGGTGCCGCGGCTCACGCTGCGGTTCGAGGGACAG